GCTTTCCTCTGTACTTTAACAATAAAAATAAAACACCTTTAAACGGTGAAATGTGATCATGTTACACATTCCTGGCTTTCCTCTGTACTTTAACAATAAAAATAAAACACCTTTAAACGATGAAATGTGATCATGTTACACAGTCCTGGCTTTCCTCTGTACTTTAACAATAGAAATAAAACACCTTTAAACGATGAAATGTGATCATGTTACACAGTCCTGGCTTTCCTCTGTACTTTAACAATAGAAATAAAACACCTTTAAACGATGAAATGTGATCATGTTACACAGTCCTGGCTTTCCTCTGTACTTTAACAATAGCATGATTAAAAGGAAACCCATTTAAAGTGGTCTGCGCAATTAATTTCTTACGTTGTACTTAGAAAAGTGTTGTCAGTAGTTTAATATTAAAAATATTATATAGATTGATAAAATGTTTTTATTCGAGTTATTGATCTTATAAGTGAATTCAGTACTAATTCTTCGAACTGTACATGTAGGCGTTAAGAGATATAACAAGTTATCTCGAGGATAAAACAAGTGGTCGTAGTCCATTTCTATATTGACAGTTTAAACAGCGTTACTTAAAATAAGCATGGAACCTTAAGGGAGAATACGCATGTAGCCTTTCTTCTTCAGGCTATCATAAATAATGTACATTTAAACGATATATATACATATGCGATTTTAAGCTAACCCTTCGACAACATTACATCGAGCCGATGACGTAAGCAACTGATCGATACTTGTTCTAATTGCAGTGCGGAATTAGACTATTTAACACCTGAATTCATTTCCAAAACGAATTACCTGCTAATGAAGCTATTTCAAACGAACTAAGGATCCTGTAAAATTTAAAGACTACACACGGGAGACTGGTCGTTTCAATAGTTCTTTTGACCAAACCAAACTTGGTTATGGCAGAATGTTGATGTACTTCAAAAACACGTAAAATGTTTTTTAATTAAGGAGGAAGTCTAAGAATCAAATTCTCCTATTCTAGTCCTAGAAATATTGGTTTGAAGGAACGTCTGCGCTATGATCCCCTGGTGGTTAAAAGTGTAAAAATTTATCTACATTTTCCTTGCAGGCTTTCTAATCTTATTATACTTACGATAACTTACTGGCTATTTATTTTTTTGATGGTTTAACTTACAATTGAATCATAGAAAAACTTTTAAAGAGATAATGAAGGATACAATATTGTGTCTCAAAAATTAAATATCGCATTAACTTTACATGTAAACCGGTACAATATTGTGTCTCAAAAATTAAATATCGCATTAACTTTACATGTAAACCGGTACAATATTGTGTCTCAAAAATTAAATATCGCATTAACTTTACATGTAAACTGGTACAATATTGTGTCTCAAAAATTAAATATCGCATTAACTTTACATGTAAACCGGTACAATATTGTGTCTCAAAAAATAAATATCGCATTAATTTTACATGTAAACCGGTAAAAATATTTTTTTTTATTTCTCCTTTGTTTCATTTTTGTTGTTGTTGTTGAGCACAAAGCTGCACAATAAGCTACGCGTCCTGTGCCCAGTGCAGCGATCGAACCCCAGATTTTAGCGTTACAAGCACTCTAATTTACGATTAAGCCACCGGGGAGGGGAATTTCCTTTACTGAATGTAAATTTATTTGCGATCATGAAATGATGAGAAACATGAGTGGCTCTGATGTAAACTTGAATTTCTCATCAAACATGAAATGAGAAAAATCAAGTACCTAAATCCCTTACGTGAATTTATGAAGTTATATTTGTGAGGAAATAAAAAAAAAAAAAACATAATTTACTCAAAGGAGCTGTTTATTCAGCTACGGACGGGGGATAAGTAAATATAATGATTTAGTCTTAAAACAAAATGGACGAATACATTTCGATAACTAGAAAATTATTAACGTTTCTCTTCAGCGGTGATGCGTTAACACTTTTTATAAGGTGATTGAAATATTAACATGTCTGAAAATGTTTAGCTATATGACGGTAAAACTAACTTCATTCCTTGTCTCTCAATGGACATATCTTGCACTACATACTTCAAAATGTCACATACATATATATATACATACATATATATAATTACTACCGCGACATATTAGGATTTTTTATAAGAAGAACTCAGTTTAGAAAGACTTCGCTTCTGATAAACTTGTCGTTCTTTATTTGCTATCGATCAATCAGCAGAAACGTATCTTGGTTGCAAGTCATCCATGAAGGACATCATGTGACCATCTTAGATCATAAGAGGACAAAAAAGCATCATCTTCAATACTTTCTCTACAAAGCTGACTCCAGCCTCTAACAAGCACTAGACGAAGGCACAGAACACATTAATTTAATTATATTATACTCACCGTTTACGTTTTGGAATAAAGAAGTCGAGAAATTTCTTTCTTTTTCAGACGATTCGTGGACTTCTACATCAATAAGTAAATAAAATATCAGATTTCACAACTGTAAATATAAGTTTATACAATCACCGTTTACAATACGTAAATGTGCTTTTAACTCTTGTTTAAACAAACAGAACAAAACAATATGTAAATATAACTTTAATTATCATTTAAACTATTATAATAAAACAATATGTAAATATGACTTTAATTATAGTTTAAACAATTATAATAAAACAATATGTAAATATGACTTTAATTATAGTTTAAACAATTATAATAAAACAATATGTAAATACGACTTTAATTATAGTTTAAACAATTATAATAAAACAATATGTAAATATGACTTTAATTATAGTTTAAACAATTATAATAAAACAATATGTAAATATGACTTTAATTATCATTTAGGCCCGGCATGGCCAGGTGGTTAGGGCGCTCGACTCTTAATCTGAGGGTCGCGTGTTCGAATCCCCGTCTCATCAAACATGCTCGCCCTTTAGCCGTGGGGGCGTTATAATGTGACGGTCAATCCCACTATTCGTTGGTAAAAGAGTAGCCCAAGAGTTGGTGGTGGGTGGTGATGACTAGCTGTTTTCCCTCTGGTCTTACACTGCTAAATTAGGGAAGGCTAGCGCAGATAGCCCTCGTGTAGCTTTGCGCGAAATTCAAAAATAAACAAACAAACAATTATCATTTAAACAATTATAATAAAACAATATGTAAAGTTGCTTTAAATTATCGTTCAAATAATCAGAACAAAACTGCATGTAAATATTCATTTACTTCTCGTTTAAACAATCAGAACATGACATGTAAACGTGCCATTAACTCTCATTTTAATTTACAGCCAGAATAAAACGATGTTTGGTTTGTTTTGAATTTCGAGCAAAGCTACTCGAGGACTAACTGCGCCAGCAGTCCCAAATTTACCAGTGATAGAATATAAAGAAGGCAACTAGTCAACATCACCCTCCGCCAACTCTTGGGCTACTCTTTTTACCAACGAATAGTGGGATTGACTATTATAATGCCTCCATGACTGAAAGGGCGAGCATGTTTGGTGACCGGGATTTGAGCCAACGATCCACAGATTGCGAATCTAGCGCCCCCTAACCAGCAGACAAAACGATCTTAAATGTTTCATTACACGTAAAGAATCACTACAAAATGAGAGAACTGATGATATTCCTATGTTTTTAATCTAAGTATAAGCTCACAAAGCATGTTGGTCATGTTGAAAGACCATAAGCTAAAGACTGGTTAACGTTATCTAACACAAGTTGGCCATGTTGTAGGACCATAGGTGAAGACTGATTAACGTTATCTAACACAAGTTGCCATGTTGAAAGACCATAAACTAAAGAGTTGTTAACATTATCTACACAAGTTGACCATGTTGAAAGACCATAAGCTAAAGACTGGTTAACGTTATCTAACACAAGTTGGCCATGTTGAAGGACCATAGATGAAGACTGGTTAACGTTATCTAACACAAGTTGGTCATGTTGAAAGACCATAAGCTAAAGACTGGTTAACGTATCTAACACAAGTTGACCATGTTGAAAGACCATAAGCTAAAGACTGGTTAACTTATCTACACAAGTTGACCATGTTGAAAGACCATAAGCTAAAGACTGGTTAACGTTATTCAACACAAGTTGGCCATGTTGAAAAGACCATAAGCTAAAGACTGGTTAACGGTATCTTGAACATATTACTTCAGAGACAGGTGTTCTTTGTTTTTACTACTGCCACTAGTAACTCAATAGATAGATTTGTGATTTGCGTGATATGTTAATTTAAAACAATATTATCTATAAGTTGATAATAAATACGCATTGATGGGAAACTCAACTTTTCAAATTACCTGCATATAAGTTGATAATAAATACGCTTTGATGGGAAATTTAACTTTTCAAGTTACGTGCAGCTGATCAATAGAAGAGTTTCAGTTTAACAGACGTCACCTAGCGAGTAAACAGAGAAAACGGAATTGTAATATCGAAAGGAAATGATACCTTATGCGTATGCTGACTAAATGTCCAAGTTAGAGACCCATAGGGTCCATAATTTTGAACCACTGACCAAAGAGAAGGCAGCTAACAGTACCCGCCATCAGAAGGCTCTGTCTGGTACTTTAACCAAATAACGATATTGATTGTCACGTTTATTATACGAGTTTATCACGTCTCGAACCACAGACCCTTTCATCCGCAGCTCGACACGCTGAGCACCAGGTCACGCTCGATTTACAGAAAAGCACCACGAACTTTGAAAATATATAAAATATGGAATCATCCAGAAGGTGAGGGTCTGTGAATATATGAAGTGATTTTGGACTTTTGTAAAAGAGTTTGTATTAAATTTCTGAGTCTTCAACTATAAAAGTTACCTAAAATTCAAAGTTACACTTAACACATTGCAAACTCTGTCAAATGTAGGCAAAGCAGCTTTTCCTTCCCGCTCTTATTTCGATCCATCCATTGTCAGTGCATTGTGGTTAGCAGGTAAGAATAAAAATGGTTTAAAGAAAAAAAAAGGTGAAATTTGAATCTTCTCAATGTTCTTGAATTAGAAGAGTTACGCGTGACGTCTCGAGCGAGTAATGTGTTCTGAAATTATCCAGAGGGAGAAAAAAAAAAAGATCACAGTGCTTGCGATAGAGCTTCTTCCACTACAAGTTAAATCAGTAAAAAAATCAACTGGTGATAAACGTGTTTCTTTATGCAATGAAAAAAAAAAACGAAAATGTACAGTACTTTTCCTTGTCACAACGGGATTCGTGAAAACTGACTGCTCATTACAGACATCATTGCTACGGTTTGGTGTCAAGTAGAAGATCTGATCAGACCATTTGAATTCTATGAATGAAGGAAATGATAATTAAGTCACGTCTAACTGTCGACCAGGATGAATCTGGAAAAAAGTTTGTTATTTAACGAGGAAAACTATTTAAATCAGACTGTGTTATCTGACAGAGCACTAATCAGGCTAGTTAAATAACTAATGAACAGAGAAACTCAGACCGACCAGTTTGTGTAATTGAAAAGTAGAAATGATCAGATAAGTCTGATAATATTAACGAATACAGAACTTATCTGACCGGAGGAAATAAATGGTTCTTCTGCATTAAAACGATATATACTAGAACTTTGAGGGTCACAAACAAGATGACCACGATATATACTAGAACTTTGGGGGTTGAAAAAATATCATACCGTAAAGCCTAATTGACCCTTCTGTTGACCCTAGAGAGTTCTTAGCGAAACATCGGTAACTTCCATAGTCGTCGGGGGTCACAGACAAGATGACCAGCTGCATGTGGACTTTGTAGGTCTCCTCGTGCGTCTCTGTAACATACTTCTGGTCAGATACGATCATTTCACCTTCTTCCTTCGTCCAGTAGTTGATCGACATAGGGAAAGCCTCAGTATGACATTCCAAAGTAACGTTGCTCCCAAGTAAAGATCCAACTAGTTGGTGTGGGATCCAGATCATTGGAGGAACTAGATCAGGAGTTAAATTCCTATTAGATGTTAAGTAAATAATGCATTATAAAATCATATCAGTTACAGTTTATACATGACAAGAACTGTCAGCTACCATTAATCCGCTACATGATCATATAACTTGCAGTTTATACAGGACAAGAACTGTCAGTTACCATTAATCCGCTACATGATCATATAACTTGCAGTTTATACAGGACAAGAACTGTCAGTTACTATTAATCCGCTACATGATACTATAACTTACAGTTTATACAGGACAAGAACTGTCAGTTACTATTAATCCGCTACATGATACTATAACTTACAGTTTATACAGGACAAGAACTGTCAGTTACTATTAATCCGCTACATGATACTATAACTTACAGTTTATACATG